TAGGATGGCAATAGTGATTCAGTTGGATCACTGCACTGAAGCTGGTACACAAAATAATGTGTGTCTACTCCCCTCTCTTAAATGCAAAGCAAACAAGCTATGTTTTGCCTCACAGTCTCCATCTGCGACAGATGGAAAAGCCTCTTCTAACTATAGGCTGTGTTTGTGAAGCACCTCATGGGATCATTTCTCTTCCTTAGTAAGAAGGATGGTATCACTTCCTGTCAAGAAGCATTCTGCCAAGGCAAACTCAAGCCAGACCTGTAACCTTTACTACTCTTGAACAGAGTGCCATTTACATCTACAGAACAACTGTTTTCTTTCAAAAATGTCACCCTTGTGAGACATGATAATAGGAAGCCTGGAAGCAAGATAAGGACGTAGACCCCACCTTCATCCTTTCTGCCTTTGAGCTCATCTTGTTAAGATTAATGGTGAAGGAAACAGAACTAGGCTATCCCTTATTTTATTCCCTCACACTTCCTATTTCATAATGATCAAAGAGAGTTTCTAAATATATAAGAATCCTAATCTCTTACTTACATTATGATCGCCCTATGATGTTGAAACTATTCCCATATATGAATATGAAAAAAGATACATGATCAGAATTTGATTGTACGAATTGGTATGCAAAAATATGCTCCATATAATAGCTATTTTTCTTTGTTTTCATTGTGGTGAATAGTCACTATATGATTTGTAGAGATTAAAATGATTTTTGGCTAAGGTCCTGCTGAATAACAAATAGATATATGTCCCTGCCAGCGTGTCCATATTCGTTTTGATACTTTGCACACCTTAGAAAGTATATTCACTTCTAGCCTAGTCTCAGGAGACAGAAAATTTGCCAGATCAGAAATCTGCCCCCCTCAGTAGAGTTAAATAGAGCAGGTCTACGCTTATCCACCAGTTCTAAGTGACTTCATCATAAGTAGGGCAGACATCACACAAGTTACATTGTGTGGTGCTGAACAAACTTACTGAGTATTGAACAAGGCAGCTAAATGTCCAATGGAGCAGGGAGAATGGAGGAAGAGGAGAAGTAACTAACTTTCTGAAAGAAAAATTAGGGTGTTATCATGATAATCTATGGGTCAGTGAGCTATGGGTGTGACAATATCACACAAATGCCATGACTGCATATTTTCATCACATGTTGAGACACACTACTGGAGTGTGTCCAATCACACCTGGCCAATAAATTCTATTCTATTCCATTCTATTCTGTTCTGTTCTGTTCTGTCCTATTCTGTTATTCGTAAAGGGGCGAGTTGAGTAATGATGCCATTGCGTGTGTGTGCATGTGTGTTGTCATTGTAGCATACTGTAGCTTGCTGAAATGTAATTAGTCTGAATTCAAACTTTATTAATGCATATAAACTGTATATATAGTTTTCAAGATTGGTAGTTTATTTACTATAATGATGGAAATAAATGTGAATGCATGTTATTCGCTTTAGGTTTTTTTTAGTTAAGAATAATCTCTTTCTCTTTTATATTATTTTTTCAAAATAGGACCAATAAATATTCAATTAGATTTTTAAATATATGACACAGCATACTACTTTTACAAGAATCCATTGTAAAGTATGGATTGAGACGATTAAAAACTAACGAATGCTGTGAAACTATAATTGGTGGATTGTTAATTTTGACTGAAGTAAGAAACTAGGTGTTAAAATATATCAAAAGAATCTCAACATCACTGCTCTATGTATACACATGCCCTACATATTCAGAGGCTCATTTAGTGACTCTCTTCCATAATAATTTCCACTTTATTTTGTTTATTCTGCCTGACTTTGAAAATGTAAAACCTATTTTACAGATTTATTCTAATTCAAAACAGGCCTACACATCAAGCAGTAAAGAGATGGCATCAAATATAATGTGTAGCAACCATGTGGGAGAAACCTAGGAGTATGGATAAATTAAGAGAGCCCTTGGGAACTTTCTCAATTCCACACTTCAGTGATGAAATAATTTAGAAAGATCCTACACTCTTTCAAGAAACACGACTCACCATGTAGCCATTCTCCAATTTCAAATCTAGGATCCTGCTCCTGTCTGGCTATATCTTCCACAAAGGCTACTTCATAAGCCAGTTTGTCAAGGGATCTGCAATACAAGTCTTGGGCCCAACTTTATGGCTTAAGGGTAAGGAGGACTCTGACATGCTTGGCTCATTTCAGCATGACTATGCATTTACCCAAACGCCAGATCTGGCGGCCAGGGATGAAACCAGATGTGGAGACGTATGTACGGGTCAACAATAAAGTCCATGATGATCTCCTCCCAAGGCCGAGTCGGATCGGCGACCTGCTGCAATAGGCCAGACGGTTTCCCTGCACGGGGTTTAGCGATAGCACATACGGGGCATTATTTTATTTATTTATTTACTAAACTTATATGCCTTTTTCTAGGCCTACCTATTGGATGGAAGCTTTCCACAGCATCTGTGGCCGAGACTTTAAACAGGTGCGCATATGCTCCTGCCACAAGTAATGAAAAAATCTGTAGAAGCAATAATTTAATATTTGATATATAAGCTAGCTAGAAATGCATAAATCAGCTCTAAGAGTGAAGTGCCCATATATTAGAGAAGAACCAGGGCCTTTTAAAAAGGCTATTAGAATTCCATTTCGTTAATTTATCCATTCCTGGCCTGGACATGTCATAATGCATATGGAGACAAGTATCAAAATTTAAATATTTTCCCCATAAAAAATATTTCCTACAGAGGAATGCTAGCAAAGTCAGTGGCTTTTTGTCAGGGTGGAAAAGGGGTAGAGAGCTGGGGTTGCATTATAGAGGGGGAGAGAAGCTCTGATCTTTTCCACTACCAGAGTAGCACGGGGACAGCAGCACAGATGCCCATGATATCATCATCTCTGAAGGGTAATGAGGACATTGTTGGCTCACCAGCTCTTTGCTACTGGAATGCTACAGTGGGCACAAGGTGGCCGGGCTGATGTAAAGAATGAGTAAGAGCAGAGATCTCTTCTTACATAGGTAGAAACTATGCCAGAGCTTGTAAAGGGATTAACGTAAAGGATTTTAATAGGAATTTCAATAGGGGAAAAAAAATGAGTGGAAGAAAGGGAGAACATGGCCGGATATTATACAGGTAGTCCTTGACTTATATTGAGACCAGAATTTCCATTGCTAAGCAAGATGGTTGTGAAGTGAATCACATCCAGTTTTATCATCATTTCTGCCATGGATGTTAAGCTGTTAAGTGTTGTTGTTAAGTGAACCACATGGTTGTTAAGTGAACCTGGCTTTCCCCATTGACTTTGCTTATCAGACATTGGGAAGGTTACAAATGCGATCACCTGACCCTAGGACACTACAACTATCGTAAATGCATATGTTTTGCTCCATCCCCTGGAAAAAATTATTGTAGAGGCCCAAGTGTGAAGCACTACACTTTTTTGGTGGGGGGGAGTCACTATAGAAATTGTCACACTTTATCCTTTGTATGGCTAATTTCCAGGGTTTTCTCCTAGCCCTGGAAAGGCTCAACCTACAAGCTGATAATCTAATTTGCATAAATCATCTATCCTTGAGTAGAAGAAACCCATATCTTCTAATTCTGCTGTTGATAATGAAAAAAAGCCACCATTCCTACAGTTGGAGCCTCAGCCTGGCTCAGATACCATCAAAGAGATGGTAAAGAAACCTTATTTCCATAAAGGAGAAGGGGAGGGAAGAAAGGATGGAGCGTCTTGCAAAAGCACTTGAACAATATCAGCTTTGTTTATAGTTTGGCTACTGTCACATATCTATATGGGAGACATCACATCTCAGCTTCATGAAACTCACTCTCCCGCTTTTCAAATAAGGATATCTGTGTCAATCCTGGATGTTATATCTGCTACGGATCTTCAGATCTTCATGCCAAATTTTGTATATGGGTCAAGTACCGGTAGTTATTCAGAATTAGCCATGGAGTCATTATATATATCATTAATGGGGGAGGGGGGAGAGAAAGCTTGTTCTGTTATATTTCCCAAAGGACAAGGCTTGAGAAGACAGAAGGGAGAAGGTTCCTTCTGATCACCATGGCCAGTGTATCATATAACTCTAACTCTAAAAAGCAAATCATGTTCTAAGTTATGCTGTCCAAAAGCAGTTCACTTCCCTTTCTCTGTTGCTTTGCAGTGCTATTGTTCTTTGTTTCTTAGATAGCAGTGTGAAGTCTTTGTAGTCTTTGACTTGGAACCACAATTGAGCCCTGTTGTTAAGGGAGTTTTGCCCCATTTTTCTTGCCACTGCAGGAAAATCATTGCAGTTGTTAAATTAGTAACATGATTTTTAAGTGAATCTGGCTTCCTGCATTGGCTTTGCTTGCCGGAAAGACACAAAAGGCGATCACGTGACCCTGGGACAGGGGTAGGCAACCTTGGCTCTTTTATGACTCATGGACTTCAACCTGAAGTCCACGAGTCATAAAAGAGCCAAGGTTGCCTACCCTTGCGCCTGGGACATTGCAGTTGTCATGAATATGATCACATGACCATGTGGGATGCTGCAATGGTCATATATGTCAAAAAGGGTCATAAGTCACTTTTTTCAGTGTTGTTGTAACTTTGAACGTTCACTAAACAAACTGCTGTAAATCAAGGACTACCTGTACATGACTCGCAGTTAATTTAAAGAAAATCATGCTGGCTAGCTTCATTTTTATCATGTGAAATTAATAATTGGACCAAGCACCCCGAGTTCATGATCACCCATAACAAGAAAAGAGATTGTTTTTCTGGCACTGAAAAACCCCACGTTTTAACACAGCGACTGGCTAGGGCAGCCTTTCCCAATTTGATGCTTTCTAGAGGTGTTTGGACTACTTAGCTAGATAGAACAGGACCATATGTTTAAGCAGGAACTAATTGTTTCCTAGGATCAGTGGAGTGACTTAAGGGAGCATCATTTTCATATTGAGATTAGATAAACTGAGACCTCATGTACATTCTTGCTATTATTTGGGTACAGACCTTCCATCTCAGTGGAAACCTTTGGGTTTGCTGGCAGGAGCCAGGGAGCCTTTGAAAAAAGAGAAACATGCCATTCCTTGGTGTGTTCAGTTATGGTTAGGAGTTCTGATGCGCTGACATCTCCACGATAAGGAGATGCTGGATGTTGGGAAGCTCAAGTTCCATCATGTGACATCAGTTTGGGAGGCATCAGTATCACAGCTTGGCTGCTTAGGGTTAGCATTTCTTGAACAAAAATAGCTGCCGCACCAGGTGCAACTTTCCTCACCGTGTTCAATTTCATTTGCAAAAAAAGCCCTTGGAACTGGTCTGCTGCAAAAGAAAACAAAGCGCAAATTGTGATTACTATTTTGCCCCTGCTTTTAAAATGAGATCAAAATAACTGCACAATTGAAACATGAATATTAAGATATGAGTGCCACGCTGTTACCTAGAGCTGTTCTGTATCCGGTCCAGCATTTACACAAGCAGCTCATCTGAATCAACATTCATATAATTTTTTAGAGTGACAGGTGTTTGTCCCGTTCTCTGTGCTGCAAAAAGAACCAAAAGCACCCATTATTAAACAGCAGGACACATAAACACACAGATTTAAGTTTGTTTCAATATCTGTTGCCAATGGCCAGTGACATTTCACTTGCTCTATCAGAGACAGATCAGATCAGAAGGCCGGTGCACACACATACACACATAGAAAGATTAGATACATAGAAATTGAAATAAGATTAGATAGATAGATAGATAGATAGATAGATAGATGGATGGATGGATGGATGGATGGATGGATGGATGGATGGATGGATGGGTAGGTAGGTAGATGATAGATAGATAGATAGATAGATAGATAAGATAGATAGATAGATAGATAGATAGATAGATAGATAGATATAGATAGATACATAAGATAGATAGATATGTAAAATAGATAGATAGATAAAGATAGATAGATAGATAGATAAAGAGAGATGATAGATGATAGATGATGGATGATAGATGATAGACAGATGATAGATAGATAAAGATAGATAGATAGATATAGAGATAGATAGATGATAGATATAGATAGATAGATACGTAAGATAAATAGATATGTAAAATAGATATAGATAGATAGATAGATAGAGGATAGATAGATAGATAGATAGATAGATAGATAGATAGATAGATAGAGATAGATAAAGAGAGATAGATACTTGCAGGTCCTTATACTTTCAGGCAATCATATTCATTCACAGGGCTAATTTGGCTGTTTTAATTTTGTTTGTTTAATGTAAACTGTGAGATGGGACAGTTTTATTTTAATTTTTTAAATAGTTCTTTTGAGGAAAAGGTAAGAAAAAAGTCTTTGTGAGAAATACAAATAATACTACACAAAAACCTGAGAAATCTAAGGGTTGCTTATAAAAAGGGGAAAAAATAATAAGGGTTGCTTTTCCAGTTACAAAACAAAGCAAATGCAGTTTTTGTTCATTCATTTCTATATGCAAGGCTCACACGAAAAATCCTTACCTAAGTGTCTTTAAAAATAGCTCAGAATGAAAAATGAAAGAAATGAAAAAGAATGAAAAAAAGCAGCTTAAGACACTTAAGAGAAGGATTGCCTGTGGTATGATATTTGGGATAATGCTAATATAAAGGTTAAGTTCAGTGGTGGGATTCAAATATGTGAACAACCAGTTCTCTGTGTGGAGGCCACTTCCAGAAGTCCATTCTGGGCCTGAGCAACAAAAAATTAGCTACAGGTTCTGCCGAACTGGTGCAAACTGGCTGAATCCCACCACTAGTTAAGTTCTACCTTCCCATCTGTTTCACCTTGCCAGTCATGCCATGCAGGCACCACTTTTCTGCCTCTGCTAAGCACAGAATTTGAATCAAGCAAGTTGATTTAAAATTGTGGGATAGTCATGTCCAAACAGTGCCACCTTCTAGACTCATGTTGGTAGCGCAGGGACCATACCCATGAAGATGATAGGATTTGGGGGGGGGTTAGGGAAGACCTGATGCCAACCTTACCAGTTTCCTCTGGTTGCTCAGACAGAAGGTGCAGATGGATCTTGGGCTCCCCGTGGCAGGGTTGCCTTGCAGGAGAGGCTGATACTGCAGGCAGGGCTGCCTCACAAGCAAGGTCTCCTCAGCTAAGTTCCCACCAGGTGACTGCTGCTGCTGCTGCTGCTGTAGGAGCAGCATATTCGCCAGGTGAGAGATGTAGCTGGAGGCCAGGCGCAGGGTCTCGATCTTAGACAGCTTACGGTCTGCAGGCTCGGTCGGGATGAGTGTGCGGAGGGCGCTGAAAGCGGAGTTGACGCTGTGCGTTCGGTCCCTTTCCCGAGCATTGGCTGCCTGCCTCTGCTTGTTGCGACCACTCGACCGAGGGCTCTTGCGTTTGCATTTGCTTTGGGCCCCAGTGCCGGGCAGGGAGCGGCCCGAGCTGCTCTCGCTGCTGCCACTCTCCAGCTCCTCCAGATCGGATGCAGCACCCCCGCTCGACTTCATGGTCAAGCCAGCAGCCCCTCAGCTCCATCACTTTTATGCCCAGCAGCTGCCACCTTGCTCCTGTTAGCATCAGCAGCCGCTGCTCTACCAAAAAGTCCCTTCCAGCAGCAGGATCATTTTTTGAATGGTTGCTCCTTTTAGATCGAGCAGATGGTGGCTCTGTAAATAAGGCCGGGGAGGTGGAGCTGCTTCTCAGAGGAGCTATTGAAAGGCCTGCACCTGTCTGCTCCTTGTCATGTCAGCGTGTGCGAAGGCCTGGGCAGCCCTCAGGAGCATGGGCAGAAGGGAAGCCCTCTCCTTCCCCTTTCCCCTCAATCTCAGGAATGGTTTCATGCCTCTCTCAAATTCTCCAGGAAGACAGACATTTCCCCTTTTCTTTCAGCAGGCTCATAATTCAAAAATCACTTGAATATCTAGACTATCTAGTGAAAACTGAGCCAAGTGTTAGACCCAGAGGAGTTAAAATCAGAGTTCCTTCCTTCCTTCCTTCCTTCCTTCCTTCCTTCCTTCCTTCCTTCCTTCCTTCCTTCCTTCCTTCCTTCCTTCCTTCCTTCCTTCCTTCCTTCCTTCCTTTCCTCCCTCCCTCCCTCCCTCCCTCCCTCCCCACATTTTCATAACTTTATCATGCTGACTGCTCAATGTTAGCTATTGGTTGGCTTGTCTGAACCATTTCTTAGTGCAGTTTCAAAATCACTGCATTTGTGGGACTGCCAATTATTTTCTCACCATGAACATATAGACAAATGCTCTAGGATAATGTAAGGCCAAGCATTTACAAACAATTCTCAAAGTACTGTTTAGACTAAGGGTATCCTATCTCATTTGCTGTGTTCTGGCATATCTCAGAGTTATAACAAGACATTTCAACTGTGTCACTCTACAAACCATTTGAAAAAAAAAATAGGTTGCCCAAATAAGCTTTCTAAGATCTAACTATCTCAATCAAACTAACCAAATGGGCTAAAAACTATTTCTAAGGGCTTCAGCAGAAAGATATATGGTTAATTTTAATCCTAAAGCTCAACATCACTATTTTATGTTTAGTGTAGTGTTGGAATACTGGAGATGGCTTCCTTTTAGCACCAATGCAAGCACTCCAACACAGCCAGTTGCTTCCACATTCTTGGCTGTGAGTCCTCCTGTCCTCTCACCAACTCTGCTGGATCCTATTTGTGGTTTGTTGCCACACTCTGTTGCCTCTGTCACTTTCACCTGCTCATTTATGCAGGGGCAGAGATAAGTCCAGGGCTAAAAATGGAAATTCAGAATCCAATGTCCCCTTGCTTTTAGTTCTCACCTGTAAAAGCACAGCCATGCTTCAAGGCTACGGCAGCATTTGTATTCACTGCTGGAATAAGGAACATAATACATTTTGAATTGACCTGATCAGCCATGCTGTTACTTATATATCATACAGAGATGGATTTGGCTTGATTCCTGCTTCTTGAACAGCATTAAATAGTGGCATCCCTGCCTTTTTGGCCCACTGATGACTCCAGACTCCTTGGCTTGATTTGAAATCAATTTGATATTTATGAACATTTCATGAATTTTTACCCTTTAGGCTGGTGGTAAAACTTTGATTATAAGTTACGCCAAAGATCCCAGAAGGTAACCAGATAAAACCCACCAAGAAGTTACAAATATGGCACATGGAGATTTCTTGACTTATTTATCATAATTCTGATTTATTTGTGTGTGTGTGTGATCTGCACTGGTTTGAAAACAGTGTTGCAATATGAGAAGTTCTCCGAATACATACACCTAAACAATAGGATCATGGCTATCACATATTGCCATATGGAACAGTAGTATAATTTACATGGCTTTGAATAGTCTTCTGGCACCCAGTTCCAAAACACCCAAAGACACCAACCCCATGTAAAGATTTGAAGAACCCAACAGAAATAATGGGCTGAACTTTATTTACCAAACCACCTGAAGGCAGGACAAGAAGCAATGGATGGAATCTAATCAAGAAGAGAATCAACCTAGAACTAAGGAGAAATTTCCAGACAGTGAGAACAATTAATCAGTGGATTGGCTTACCTCCAGAACTTGTGGGTGCTCCAACACTGGAGGCTTTTAAGAAGAGATTGGACAATCATTTGTCTGAAATGGTATCAGGTCTCCTGCTTGAGCAGGGGGTTGGACTAGAAGACCTCCAAGGGCCCTTCCAACTCTGTTATTCTGTTCTGTTCTGAACTAAAGAAAAAACAACTGTCTGCTTCCCTGGTGGTCTTTTAATCAATCCCAATGAATCAAATTCACATCGTAGAAATAAGGAGTTAGTCTGAAGAGTAATTCAAGGGCCAACAAAAAGGTAGATGGGAATGTTTATCTGAATACTAATAGCAAATGCTATTTATGATTCTCTACCTGAGAAAAACCTCATAAAAGGGGGCTTTGATTCTTAATACAACTGAATATTAAATAATGAAAAAATAATAATTACAAACTCTGGCAAGTGGCAGAACCTTTATGTTGCATTGATTGGGAATGTGTGTTGTGAAATTTGAAGCTACTCCAATACCCAAATTCAGGCATATCCAGTAAAATATGTTGAAGAATTCTGAATTTCTGAAAATGTTCTCAAATCAAAAGTGAGATTCTTCCTCCAGCTTTCTTTTCTTCAGTAGAGTCCTTGGTTTCTTTTCTTCAAACAGATTCCTTTTATTTGTTGTAATCTAGTCGTTTTATCCCAGCAATCTTTATATTCTTTTAAGAAATTTCAACTGACCTTGGACCTCTAGAAATTTCCAGTTTTTAGGGGATGATTTTATAGCTACTGGGAAGGGTTATTTTCCCCATACAAGTAACAGGGAACTTCCCCGCCCATCCAGAAAACCTGTCAATGAAACAATCAAAAGACGTTCAGATGTACAGTAGGGCACAACTGCCTGTATCTCACAGAGAGACTCTGTCTTCTTTTTCACTGATAACCCGGTTTGACATAATTGGAGGAACAGACTGGGCAGGAAGCCAGAAAAGGACTGTTTTAAGTAAACAGAGGCGTCTCCACCTGGACACAAATAAATTCAGCACCACCATCAGCTTCCAGTATTTAATAACACAATCCATGCATCTTTAGGCTTTCTTTATATTTGACAGCTCTGAGTTAAGAAAATTAAAAGTAAAGCCAAGAGGCTGATACAATGACAAGTTAATCTAGTGATTAAGGATCCCCACATTAAAAAGATTAAATGTTCTTGTTTTTAGCTCTAAGATTCCTTGAAACGTCAGTGCAAAATGGCCATTCAGCTTAAAAGATGCTTGTAAAACATTCAGAATATTGCCACAGTTAATTGCTTAATTATTGATTGGAATAACATTTAGGCAAACACTGGATAGAATTAATTCCTTAAGGAAAGTTTAGGACTAGAATTGACATTGTACCACACCCCTCCCCAGTACTAATATATGTCACCATTAACAGTCAAGAGTTTTACAAGGCCAATAAGATTATTGAATAAATGGAAAAGCCCATCATTGACTCTTAATCCTCTAGATAGTGAGATTGCTTGTGTGCTAATTGCCACAGAATGCCCTAATATACAATGCAGATCATCAATTTCCTTGAGCCAAAGTCAGACTTGTGTTAAACAAGCACAAAACTTTATGATTACAGTGACTACAAATCAAGCCAAGCTAAGGAACAGAAGATACCTTCCTCACCTCAGTTTATGCATCATGTACTGCTAATGGCAGAATCACTATAATTGCTTGAACATATACAAAGGAAAAAGGGGGGGAAGGCTCATTTTGTTGTTCTGTTTGTTTTGTGTGTGTTTTTAAAAACTCACAATGAACATGCTTTTGATTCTGCTGAAATTTGGAGCCTCTGGCCTGCATTTCTATAATTTTTTTAACAGTCACTGCTTTTTTTTTTGCAACTTGTAAATGAGTGTGTCCCAAGAGGATCAAATCAGATTAGCAAGGTAATTTCTTCCTTGTCATTTAATAATGATGAAACTAGTAGTGTAAATATGGTTAGGGCAGGCATAGAAGACCCCAAACCCTTCTACATTTACCTCCAACCCAACCCTAGATGTAATCTATTCCTGAGTAGTATACATTTTGGGGGAAACCTAAGCATTTGCATAGGGTGACATGACTTGTGAGGTTGGAGCAGCTGATGGAAGAGACTCTGGACATGTGCAGTAGAAAAGAGGTGTCCAACTTCCAGTATGCACCCCGATGCCGGGCTTCTGCCTGTTGGTAACCAGGCCGCACAAGCAGCCAGTGAGTGTGCCCATGAGAAGTTGCATTTGTGGAAGCAGCACGCATGTGTGCAAAACCATCCCCTCTGCCCCCCTGGCTACCACCACTGAGAGCCAGTTTGCAAAGTCAGAAAGTTTGGGGACCACTGCAATAGAGACCCTCTGTGTGTAGGGCTGAGGGAACCATCAGATGACTAACTCTCACTCTTTGCTGCCATCTCATGGTTACCCAGTAGTCTTCAGCATGGACGAGGTATTTCTAGTTTCTCTACTTCCCAGAAAGTGTCCCAAGCTAACATCGCTGCTTATTCCTAGACTGTATATGCTAGTGCTGGGCCCAAGAGAAGGCCTGAAGCCTTGGAAGGAGGTCTCTAGCTATTTAATTGTTGACTAATGAGATAATGGGGTGGTGGTGCAACTTAGAAAGCTCTGCTCCTCTCCCCTATTTGAAATAAAAAACAAAGGAAGCCTAGAACTGGGGAAACTTAAATTCACTGTCCTTTTATTTTACACAGACTCCAATAATATCACAGGGCAAGCAAAAGTGACGATAGCAACTTCTGTATTTTTTGCACTTGATTCTCATCTACCGGGAAGGAAGATTTTTCAAGTATTTAATGTCATAAACTAGCAGAATGGGGAGAGCTTTTCTAAGGGACCATCTTCAATGCTCCTTTTCATGCTCTTTAAATCCAATGATGTGAATATGGTAGGAGTCAATAAAGCATGAAAGAAGCACAATCCGTTGGGTATAATTATTAATTTTCTCAACAGTTAAGTCTACAAATGTATGAATAGGTCCCTTCCTCAGCCTTCCTGCGTTCTTGAGTGGCTTCCTTGGAGATACTCGAAAGAGCAGATCTCTTTGCGATACTTCAC